TGCTGGGGTGACATCGTGGTCTTATCCCTCCCCTACACATCCCACTGCAGCTCTCAGGCCATGCCCTGACCCTGTGTTACATTTCCTGTGGTTACTGGGGTGTAGGAGGAACATGGCCTACCATGTGTTTGACCAGGGCTTCTGGGGAATTCTGTGGGGGTGAGAGATCCCTGGGGAGGCTGAGCAAATAAGACAATTCAGCCTGGAGCTTGTAGAGCTCATACCAGCAGATGGGCCTCGGTTTGAATCCCAGCTCGACCTGCTGGTTGAGCTACCTTGGGCAACTTGTTGCATATTGCTAAGCCTCAGTTTGATCCTTTCTGAATGAGAGTGGTCATAGCCTCTGTACCCTGGGATTACTGATCAAGAGTCCAGACTTGTCGCATCCGGGCACCAGTTCTTGTTTGTGTTCCTTGAATGCTCTTGCCATGCTCACGGTAGGCTTCTGGGTGGGCCTCCTTGTCCCTGCAGGTGGTCGAAGGTCTATTTTGTGTTGTGGTGGCTGGTGTCGTCTGTCATCTGGGTCAACCTGTTCCTGGCTCTGATCCTGGAGGTATCAGAAATCCCTGCCTTTGTGGTTCTCCGTGGTCATTTCTAACTTAGTGAAGCTGCCCACTGGTCCTGCCTGGAACTTCGGTGCCCGCATCTGTGCCCTGAAGCCATGGCCCTGCTTCAGTCTGAGTCCTCCCCATCTTCTTAGCCTTGGCTGCTAGGACCCTGTGCGTGGTCCTGATATTTGACCTGTCAGGATCCTCAGACCCCTGGGGCTGGAGAACTTGGGCGTCAAGTTCCTGCTTAGCTGGAGCAGGCAACCTCCTAGCTAGCTCCCTGTGGTGGACACGAGACCAACAGTGAGGAGGGTGGTGGGGGGCAAGCTGTTTCCAGGCAGGACCCGCACTCACCGGCCACCCTTCCCTCCCTCCCACCTGTCAGATCTTCCTCCATAGGTGGTACCCTCGCCGTCACCTGCATCCCCTTGCTGGGACCCAGGAGGCCACCTACGAGGTGTCTGTGGAGCTTATGTTCAGGTGTGTGGGTGGGGCAGGTGCCCCCTGTGGCCTCATGAGCTGTGAAGATGAGAGCTGGAGAGGGGGGCGGGGCAGGAGGTGGCAGGCAGGGGCAGCAGATGGTGAGCAGGTCCTCTGACAGCGGGCCTCCCGCCTACCTGCTACCTGTAGTCCATCTTCTTCCCAATTCTCTAGGGATATCCTGGAGGAGCCAAAGGAGGAGGAGCTGATGGAGCGGCTGAGCCGCCACCCTCACCTACAGCTGTGCAGGTGACATCCAGGTCTCCTTCCTGGTTGAAGCTGCTGGCCTGGGACAGATGTTGGTCGTGGAAGAGGCAGAAGGCCATGGCCAGGCGGGAAGAGGCCTTTCCTTTGGGACTACTGAGCTGGGGACAGCTGGAGGCCGGGACAAGGAGCCAAGCCCTTCATTTGCTGCCCAACAGGATCACCACCAGCTTCTCTCTGTAGCACCGGCAGAACGGCGGCAACCACGCCATGCCACTTCCTTTTGTAAGCTGCTTCAGTGAGATTTTCACTTTTTTAAGTAAGGAGATAGAGTGACTCCACAGGGACCTTTAAGAAGAAAAGCAGAAAGCCATGATCTGCCCTATGAGCACTGTATCTTCCATGGTGCCTTAGCTGCGGTGGTGTTCAGGGACCAGAGGCCCACATGGAGCCTGCATTGCTTAACTGGCAGGTTTCCAGGGCATTAAGGCTGGGATGTTGGTGATTTTACACGAAGAGAATGTTGGCTGTGTTTGCTATTTGAATGAATGTGATTGGGTTTATTTCTTTATGGGTCTGAATGCCAGTAATTTTTATCAATAAGCCATGCAAAGACTTAAGAGTATCATTCTTATTTGTGCACAACTCCAGTTCTGGTGCAGGGCTGCTTGGTAAGGTTGTTTAGATTGTGCACTGCACAAGGATGTCTGGCTGCAAGGGTGTGTCCTGGCATGGGCTGCCTACCTGCAGTGAGGGGCACCTTTCTCTATTTGCATGCATGCCTGTGTGACCCTGCTTTGTCCTCGGAGTGTGTGCCCAAGGGGGCTGAGCAGTGTGTGAAAGGCCACAGTGTCCCTAGATCAGACTCACAAATGGCTTCCACATTTCAAGTGTCAACATAAGTGATTGGCAGAATGGTTCCCAGAGGCCTCTGTGGATCAGAGAAGAAAGCTGGTGTTGATTAGTGACACGTCTGTAGTGGGGGGCACTGAAGAGGAAGTGAAGGCTCAGGTGCCTGTTCCACACTGGGAAGTGATCCCCCAGCTTGTCTGGGAAAAAGAGATTTGAGGAAGGTATACCTGAAAAAAGTGACTTCTGAGATGTCATGAAGTGTGGTGCTCAGAGTTTTATAATTCCTGGTGACCATTTCACGTACCCACTACATTACGGCTTCTGGTCAGTCTTGGAGCTCATCTGAGATCCTGGTGTTTACTTGACATCCCTCAGGTTTGGGGGATTATGGGGTGCTATGAGGATACTCCCAGACCTGACCTGCCCTCTCTGCAGACTGCCTTCTTGGAAGGCTGGCTTTGGGTGGGGAGGGGCTCTTGGAATAGTGGAGTGCAAGGTGCTTCTCTGGGTCCCATGGGTGGGCCCGCCCTATCAGCTACCCTTAACACCAACTGTTTCTGCAGCAACCCCCTTCTGCTAAGGTTTGGCGCCATCTAGTGGTGAGAACTCCTTCACTTGTCCTTATTTTTATTGCGAAGTGGACTCTGAGATCCCCAGAACAGCTGCTCTTTTCCTGCAGGCCAACTTGAGGGCTGCTCCGTCCGTCGACATCTCACAAGTCCCTGAGATATATCTGAGCCCAGGGCCCACTGAACTGGCTGGCATTGCAACATCCCCACCTTGGAGTGAGTCTAGTTTAATGTCGTGGAGGATGCCTCTGCCCTCAGTCCTGAGTCTGTGCACATCCCAGCTCTGACTCTGCAGGTCCAGCCTGCATTCTGGTTTTGGGGCAGTGTGCAGAGAAGTTTCCCTGATGTTCCCTGTCAGGCAGCAGGTAATTCTGACATATGCTGGAAGGGGAACCAAAGCCACCATTCTTTGGGGGAGTGTGTGTATGGTGTGTGTAGGGAGAGACTGGAGGGGCAGGTGCCTTTAACTCAAGCTGGGATCACATGAATATTTGGTCCCCGAAGCTCATGTTCCTATGTCAGTTTCAAAAAGTGTAGACTTTTAATCTTTGCTTGAATGACAGCTCAGGCTGACTTCAACAAGGCTAGCTCAGGCTCAACTGTGTTGGCTGGGGAGGCTGGGTTGAGGGGATCACTGCAGTGCCCACAACTCCAACCAACCGGGTGTTCTGTGGAGTTCAGTGGCAACCATGGCTGCCATAGAGAAAGTCCATCTGAGGAAGGACAAGTGTCTGCATCTCAGACCAACTCTCAACAGTTCTGGTGGGCTTTCCTGTGGTTTTCTGTGGCTCATGGTGACTCTGGTCACCTCTTAGCCTCTGGCTGGGTACAGGACGGTGAGGGCTTTACTCTGTTGGGTGTAGACACCCAGCACAAAGATGACACCTGGAGTTAGTACTGCAGGTCTTGATGGAGGTAAGAAGAGCCAGCTGAGGCTGGGGGAGCCTGCCTGGTAGCCTGGGTGCATATCTGAGGGGGACCTGTGTTCCTGTGGGATGGGATGCCCTTGTCTGGGTGTCACCAAGAAGCATAGGTAGAGGCAGCTGATCCCAGTGGACATGGGGTGCCGGCTGAGGCAGTGAGGGGAAGAGGGTTGCACCCATGTGGGAAGATGGGCCGGGAGGGCAGTGGAGGGACTCAGAGATGTGGCGTGAGTGCCTGTGGCCTGGATCTTAGGCTCAGGGCTACATGTGTCAAAGAAGCAGAGCCTTGGTCTGAGTCATCCGTGGACTGGGAAGTGGGGATGTGTGGGGACTGAGGAAGCACATAGGGTCAGGCTGTACCTAGCAGGACTGCCCCAGATACCTGAAGTGTTGGGGCCCCAACCCACTGGCTTCTGCCCAGGGAGCAGGAGCAACCTTCAAGGACAGAGTTGCTGAGACTGAGGCTCAGGAGAGGAGCAGGTTCAAGATGAAGGTCATGAGTCTGGTTTTGCTCATATGTAATAATAATAATAGTAATAACAGCAATAATACAGGAGCAACTGCAATCTTGGAAAGTGGCAAACACAGTAAAATAACTTTCCTGAATCACTTCAGGTTGTGTTCTGACCCCTTCACCTCAGTGATTTGGGCAGGTTTCCAACAAGCATGCACACCTTCCTGTGGTGCTGCAGACCCTGACCATTGGGGTGCTGAGGCCAGTAGGTGGCTGCCACCGGACCTGCTCAGATCCAGCCGCAACTCTGTGTGTCCCAGTTTGGAGCATAGGTCCTCAATCCCAAGTGGCTTTGTGGTCGTGTCGATCTTTCTGCACAGTCACTGAGTCTTCCTGGAGCTTTATGATCTCAACAGTTCAGATAATAAACAAGTGATTTTGTAGAATGGCTCCCAGATTGGGTCAATGAGGGAACTTCAAAAAGTACAAAAAGTGTATTGAAAAAATGGAATTAAAGTCTGAGTTTATTTTGATGCAAAAAAAAAATCCATGCATAGTTTTTGTGTGTGAGATTTGGTGATCAGACTCAGGTTGTGCATTTTGTGCAGGAACATCTTATAAGCGATGTGCTTCCTTTTTGCTGCATCTTGTCAGGTAGGTGGTGGGTGCATGGTTCCAGCTTGTCCGATGATTGGTGCTCATTCAGGTCACTTGGTCAAGAAGGTGTCTGGCTTCTTCCCCCTCCCCCCCACCTGCCCTTTCCCTTTTATGTTAATAAGGGGGAGATGCTTTGGAATTGTGTGAATATGTTTTTCCTTATCAAACTTCCAACTTTTGTCTCCTTCCCTCCTTCCCTTTCTTTCTGTCCTTTCTTGCATTCATCTGTGTGATGATGGTGTCTTCTTTTATTCAGTGGGCCTAGTCTGTTGTGATATTTAATGTGATGTTCCATTTGTCTTCTTTGGCCAGTGGGAGACAGATCATTGTGTTTTTGTGTCCATCACTATGTACCTGCCATTCTTTGAATGTTTCTTTACTTTTTGGCAAAAAAAAAAAAAAAGAAAAGAAAAAAAAAAAAGAAAAAAAAAGCTGTTTGAGGGCTCATTTTACACCTTCCCTGCCCCTGCCCCTTGAAATTAGCCATTTCCCTAAGGACGACCATCCTTGTAAATGGGAAATACTGTCTAGGCACCAAGATGTGGGTGTGAGCGTGTTTATCGCCATTGGGGTGTTGCTATGCCCAGCACTCTCAGTGGGCAGAGCCAGGAAATATATGCATAGACCTCTCTCTCTCTCTCTGTCTCTCTTATCTGTTTGTTTATTCACTTATTTATTTATTCATTCATTCATTTATTTTAATTTGACCAGAGAGATTTACAGAGAGAGAAAGTAAGAAAGCAAGCCACCAGGTTCTTATCTGTTGACAACTATGAGATTATATCAGTGCTTCCAATTTCAACCCAACTCCACAAAAGTTTCTTGTTCCATAGTAGTAAGACCTTTTCTCTGAATGGTTTTCATTCTCCTTAATACATTTACTTCATTTGACTAGTTCCCCTGAATATAATCCACCTGCTACTACTGCCACCCCTTTCTCTCAGAGCTGCCCTCCTCACCTGCCTTAGGCTCTGCATTCTCTTTCTGTAGACATATTCCTACCAGAACCTCTAGTAAACAGTTTTTCAGAAGGGGAGATGTTACTGTCAGGTCCTTTAAAATGAGGAACAGCAAAATCTACTTTCTATTGGAGATTTAGACAGCTCATTTAAGGCCCAAGAAATAATCAAGTAAATAAAAATAGCACTAGAAGGGACCAGCAGTTGGCGTAATGGCTATGTCGCTGGACTCCCATGTAGTTGACTGCAGTTCGAGTCTGGGACCCGGTGGCTTAAAACTCACACCGGGTGTGTGTGCATGCATGCCCAAGATCCTGAGAGGAGAATGGAGAAGGGATTGTGGCGTGGCCATCCCCCCTGGGGAGTGATTTCTCGCTTTCTGTCTCTCTTTCTTGTTCTGTCTGTCTGATGAGCGCATGCACCCTATAGCAAAAACCTCTCCAAAAAAATTCATTACAAGAAATATAACCCTTTACCTACAAATAAGGTGATTGTGTACATACAAAACGCAAAAATATTAAGAATAGAATTCAGCAAAATGGCTTTAAGATTATTTATGCTGAAATCAGTTGCTTTTTAAAATACAACCATCCCTCTTTATCTATGGGGGATTGATTCCAGGACCCTCTGCAGATACCAAAATCTGTGATTGCTCAAGTCTCTTATATAAATGGTGAAGTACTTGCATATAACCTATGCATATCCTTCCATATACTTTATTTTAAAAAAACAATTATTTATTTAATTTTATGTTATTATTATTCTTCAATTTGACCAGAGAGAGATGTACAGAGAAGGACAGAGAGAGAGAGAGAGAGAAAGAGAGAGCGTGAGAGAGCGAGCTGCTAGGTCTGGGACTTGAACTGTGATCATCCATGTGGGAATCCAGCACCCCAACCACCACGCCACCTGCTAGCCCCTCCATATACTTTAAATCATCTGTAGGTTACTTATAATACCTAATACAATCTATGTGCAATGTAAATAGTTTTATACTATTTTTTTTTTTAATGTTTATCCCATGAGAAGACAGAGAGAGAGACAGAGAGACAGGCATCCTTAACAAGATCTTCACACTACTTTTTAACCCCAGCCTCAGATAGCCAGGATCATGGGCACATGTGTGTGCCCAGAGTGCATGAGGTGACCTTGTGGCATGACCCCATGACCTTCTTACATGGCTTCAGCATTGCAGAGTGTTGTGTT